TGAAAGCTCAATTTATTGGCTTGGGAGAGGAGAGGAAAAGGCTGCGGATATTACATTCTCTGGAATTTACGTCAAAAAATTGTCGCAACAGGTTCAAAATAGATTCAGGGTGCATGTTAATGGAAAATTAATTATTATTTTTCAAGAGGAGCTTTTGAATGTTTTGTATTCTAATCTGGTTAAAATGTTGTTTTACAGTAAACTGGTCATTCTGTATTTCTGGGTTAAGAAATTGTAATTTTGTGAAATTCTCAATTTTGCAAATGCATAAAAGGGTCTTAACCAATTTATTTTATGTTCAAGGCAAAGTAATTTTCTGGTTAAGCATTTCTGCAAAGAGACCTTTGGTTCTGTGTTTTTAAAATCTCTTTGAAAATTATTTTAGGTCTAGTGGATTGCTATAGATTGTTTCAAAGAACAAATAACTGGCAGTGAGTTTAAAGCAGTAATTCGGTTTTGGTAATGCGCATCAGCTACAAACTCGTGGTTCAGGGGTAATCAGAACAACTTGGTTGAATTTCTGCATTCTGTCTCACTCTAAGCTATTTCTATGTTTAGGTTGCACAATTAGTTCGTAATGGTTTCTTTCTGTCAGCATTGCTTTGGAATGTATGCACACCATCACTAACAGCTGTCAAGTTACTTTATGCGGGACCAATGAAAAGTTCACATAAGGCCAGAGAAAACATATGCATGCCAGGGAAAACATGAATTGCCCATTACAAATATTTAGTTTCAATGGGTTCTAAAGCAATGAAGAAAGACTCGAGTTGATCTTATTACTTTTTATTATTACACTTTTAGATAACAAAAGTAATAGCATCACAGAGGAAAATGTATATCATATGATCAATAAGCAAATCTAATATTCAGAAGAATTCTTGCTTTGAATATAGAGTCTTATCCAATCATCAAATTGTCCCAAAATATTTTAAGATCTGTAATGTGACTTTGTATTTGTAAGCAAATGTGGCAGTCAATTTGTGCATAATTATGCCTGTGGCACCACAGTCCTTAGTTGTATCCAGTGACTGTATCAAAGATGTTGTCAGCGTGATCAGCGGCCATTGTGGACCTCATGTAGGTCCAAATATCCATACTACTAGACATTTAAATTAATAAGTAAAATACAATGCACTACTTTAAGTGTGTATGTTTGTGGGAGGGTCAGTTTAGGGTTAAGAGAAAAGATGGCTCAAGTGCCATAATACAAGATATTTACAATGCTAAAAATAATATAATACTGTGTTACATGGACAAAAGCATGTTATATTAATGGGTCTGTGGTTAGTAGGGTGTAACAGTTAAGTGAATAACTAGCTTTACAGACAGTCATTGCTGCTGTATTTCCTAATTGACTGCAAGGAAGTGTTGTTGAGGGATGTGGGAAGAGATCCCCTTCCTCTCTGTGACTTAGCTGCTCTGATGAACTTGCCCCCTGGGAGAAGTCTGATTTAGTCAGACGCCAACATTTAGACCAACTTTTAGACATTGGATTTGAGCATGCAACTACTGACTTGTTTTATGCTTCACTGAGTTCATTGCCAAGCTCTTACTTCAGTTGCATCGTAGTGAATGAATATATATTTTATCGTAATCATGTATTTAGTTCTTAACTGTTGATATGACCCTTCAGTTCCCTGTTATAGATCTCCCTGATTGATAGTGTCCTGCACTTTTCTCCACTGCTTTCTGAGGTTAAATTAACTTAGGCTTCTAAAGTCCATTATTTTCTGCCATTTGGTTTATTTTCTCATTTGCAGTTGTATTGGAAATCATTGATGACAAGTATTCAAACTGTGCCTTTTAAGGTTTTGAGCAATTGTGCAATTTTATTACTGAGCAATCAAAGAAAATGTCCTCGTTCCTTTATATTGCAGAGCCTGTTCAACGTGTAGTATCTCTGTAATGTTTAGCCTCCGGTGCTGTTTTGTTGGCCTTGTTTACAGTGCAGGGCAAATTCCACAGCTAAAGTCAAACAACTGTTTGTTTGATAAGCACATTTTCAACTTTAATTTCCTGGCCCAGATATATACTGATCTGTGGGGAAGGTCAGCCCAGTCCACGTTGACCACTGGTGTGAAAATAGCAATTGCACTGGTCACATTGCATTAATGGGGGTGGGAGGGAACATTTATATTTGCTGCAGTGGTGCTACTGCTTTGGAGAATCTATAAAAAACACCTTGTGTGAGTAGGAGAGGTTTTCTGATCTTATTTTATTTTCAGTGTGTGAAAAAAGTTCACAGAAATTTAGGCTGAATCTAAACTCAGCCTCAGTGATGAAAGGGGCTGTGTGCTAACCTCAATATAATGGTTTGTTTTAACCAAAGCCAGTGGTATTTTGAGTGTAGAATCCCTTCTCCTTCATCTGTTTCTGCCACGTGATTTATCAAAATCTCCCAGCTATTGGAAGAAATGGTCGACAACAGGAGATGCCACACCTGAGGAAAGTCAACATAGCTGGTTGACCAGTGGCTTAACTTGTGCTCAACATATTTCAGTTTTAAGCTGAGCTAGTGACGTCCTCTGTTCACTAACTGTGAAATTAACATTTTCATTTTTTTAAATATATTTTTCTTTTTTCTAATTCCTTACTTCTACTATCAAACTTCCCATCTTCTGTATTCTCCTGCAAGCGAGCACTAGTAAAATACCAAGTGACATTATGATGAAAAGCTGTGAGGGAAAAGCAATTTGTATGTCACTAATACTAAGAAACCATGAAAAGGTAATCATAATCGTAGTGTAAGAACCCTGCAGACTTGATGACAAGTGCTTAATCACAAAATGATAAGTCAATTAATTTGTAATTAAGCTATCTGGCTGAATACACTATTCGAAAAAGAGAAAATAAGCTGGAGATATTTATCTGCTTATTTTGCAGATCTTCCATATTTCTGGTGGGTTTGCTGCACCCCTGAGATGAGTTAAAACAGATCAGAAAGTGAACCTGGGATTTTCCAGATCTGTATAGTTATTTGAATTGATTCAACTATTCAGCCGTGAGGGAACCTCTAGAATTGTGTAATGGGTTCTCTTTTTATAGAGGAAGTATATCCCAATTGTTGTTCCTTTTATTCCTTTTCATTGTGAATTGTGACTGACTGTTTCCCAGTTATGTGTCTCCTATCTAATCAAAGCATTCTGAGTCACTTGGTTCTCATGCCTTTTTTTCCTGTTGAGCATTTGTGGGTCATGCTAATGATTCAATTTCTGCATTGAGTGTTCAGCTATGACATTGACTTTAAAACTTACTGTCTTATGGAAGTATAATTTAAAATAACTATGAGACTGTAGTAAGGTACTTCATTCAACGGCAATTTGCATTTATATAGCTTCCTTTTTGATGGGATAATATCTTGGAGGGCTTCACGGCAACGTGGTTGGAAGCCAAGCAGGGAGTGGGGTGGGGGGGAGTGAGAGGTGACCATAGGTGTGGTCAAAGACATAATTAGAACCAAGAATGTCAAGGTAATCTGAGGACCTAGACTGGGGAGCTTAATAAATGACTAAAAAGGTAATCTGATCAGAGGAGGGCTAAGTAAATACTTACTCCTATTGAACACTTCCTAGCACTGATATTTCATTCGCTTTTAATAGAATATTAAATCTTATCCATGAAGGTTTGGTACAACGTTTCATCAAGTATGGTCAACTATGTACCCAAATGCATGCTTAAATTTCTCAATTGCTTTAATTTCCTGTGAAGTGTATTGTTTATACGTGTGATGTTATGTGCCAAAAAGAGGGAGTTTCAAATTCTGTTCAATCTATAAACAGCCCAACCCTCAAACAAATGGTCTTGGCTCTGATCCTGTAAATAATAAATAACCGTTGAATGAGTATACATGATTTCTTAAAGGAATATTCTAGGATCAGGCCCTTCAGTGTTCATGTATAAAGTGAACATGCCAAACTGTAAAAAAAAAATTCATCACTTGTCACACTCGTCACTAGTATAATGGGAAGGTTTGTTTGTTGTCTGTTTCCTCCATGTTAAATTTCCAGCTCCAATTTTTTAACATAAATAATGAACACACCCTTATTGAAAACATGGAACAGTATGAGATTCAAACTTGCGCATGGCACCTCAAGTCAGCTTTTCTCTTTCACCATGATGGAGTATGGGAGGCGAATCCTTGGATTTCTCCTAAATTAATCTATTTGATGTTTGCCATGATATGATCAACAATTACCTGAGCTTGAAATTGTCACACATGCTATCAATTTGTTATTCTGATGATTGCTCAACTTGGGGCCACTTGGGTGCCACGGTCACTGAACATTTTCTTGTCCTTTTTAGTTAATATTTTCCCCTGTCAGACTTGATGCAGCTTACATACCAGCCTTGTCTCCTTAGTCCTATAATGAACATGACATGATTTTAATAACTGATACCATGTTAATTAAAATTGCACAATTGGCTTTCAGATCCAAATCACTATGCCTCAAAAAGATGCATTTGTTCCAGTGATCCTAGAAATCAAGACCTTGCATTTTACAGTGCTTTATTACGTCAAAGTCTCAAACTATTTAACATAACTCCTGTCCAATGTAATGACTGCGTTTGTGACAGTTTTTTGTGGCAAAACGTGACTGCTATGTTGTACCTGTAATGTACCATAAACAATTGTGTGGTAAATTACCAATCTGTCTGGAAGATGTTTGGCCAAAACATCTGGAGAAACTCACTTCTCTTTTTAAACAGTATTCTGCAATCTTTATGGTTCACCTAAAGATGAGGTAGATTGATTTAAAGTGTCATCAAAAGAATGGCGCCCAAGTTCTGCAATAAATAGCATCAGCCTATGAGCTCAAATCCCAGCTGACAAGCTCAACATTCTGAAACAGAAGTAAGAGTATTAACTGAATCAGAGTAATACTGGTGACACCCATGGAGAAAATGTCATTTGCTAAGTTTCAGAAATTAGCTTGCAATGTTTATTAAATGTTAAATTATTAACTGTCTAATTCTTGCTTTTTTTTTAACCTTAACAGCTAAACCATTCACCTCTACTGTAAAGGAACTGAGGCTGCATCGAGATGATTTTGAAATGTTGAAAGTTATTGGCAGAGGAGCATTTGGTGAGGTAAGTATTCCAATCAATAATTATGATAAATTAATTGGTCCATGAAATATGAGGGAATTTCACCTTTAGGCTGTGGTGTAAGTAAAATTACAGCTCTTGGAGTATTGCTGGCAACAATTTATATTCAGGCGAACATTATAACCAAAATGAAAAAGCTCGATTCCTATGCCTCACTGTTGAGTATGGTGTTAACACCTTTGTAGTTTATTGTTGGGTGCTTTCAAATTTAATTTTGGAAATTTCACTCTTATTGGAAATGAAGGAGAACACCTCCATGCTTTTCTGTGATTGCTTCAGTTCAGATTTTAGTAAGAATTTTGTTCCACAGTGACAGATTTAAAAGCAAGAGAAGCTCTCCGCCCTGATTGCTTATTCTCTCTGTCCTCTATATCTCCTGAAGACGTATTTCAGATTACCTGGCACTGTTAGCTCTGGGGTGAGGAGTCATCACTTCACGATCATGAGTTCTAGAAATCATAACATAGTTTGTTATACCTTCAAAAAGATTACTGTGCTGACATGAAAATAATTAAATTATTTCTTTCAATCGTGCATCATCAAATATATAATCATTTTCATATACTACCAGTTGGTTTAATGTCTATACTGTCAAAGTGATTTCTGTTTTCATTATTTTGTATTTCATGATGTTTGTTGGCTTAACATTTCAGTTGTTCCCAGTGCCACTCATACGGATATCTGCTTCATAGGAACATAATGATTAATTATCTCTTCCAAAGAAACTTTAACATGATGGCTAAATCTTGCAAATATTCTGCCAACATTTTGTCTCGTTTGGTTTAGAATTAAGGGAAACAAATGCCTTCTTAAGGAAGTGGAAGTCCATTTAGTTTGCCAAAATAGCTTATAGTTGTTAATGATTACATTGTCTGAAGACAGGGTTTATCTTTAGACGAGCAATGACTAAATACAGTGGGAGAGCACAGGTCTGTAGCATTCTGTTGAGTTGAAAAGCAAACGTTATTAGTTGTGGATGCATTGGTCATATCCTTCTTCCATAATCTAGCAAATTAAAATTTTATCAATAGGTGAGGAATTCTTTCTAACAAGTATCTTCTCAACAGAGTGAGAGTAGGCTTTTTACATTTTAGCAATGTGTAGATATCTGAAAATTGATTTCTGTCTCCTGTTGGAGAATTGCCACCTTTTCAAAGTAAATTAGAACCACAAATAGGATCACACTATGCCATCACAATTCTAACCCTTAGATTAGATCTACTGCTTTCATCCTTACTTATTTTATTGATGCAACTGGTTCTTCGAACAGAACACACGTTGGCTCATTGCTGCTTACTGAAACAAAATGTAATGCTAACCTTCATTCAACATTACAATAGCCCGTCAGCTAATGCAGTGCACACCCCTTCAGTATATCTGTTTACAAATAGAAAACTAATATACTGGAGATTACTTGAATGACATTGTTTAATGCCTTCAGCCAGTTTTCACCCACAATGCTATGGTAATGAATGTCATGTTTATATGTTATTTGAATGTTAGAAATTGGAACATTCATAATTCAAAAAACTTTAATAGTTTTTTTAAACACTGGATCGTCTTGTAATAACATTACTAAAGTCTTGGAGGTTGCCAACTCAACTGTTTAGTTAATAACTACCATCTGTAAAAAAAAAAAAGAAAATCCAACTCAGTGTGTCATGGCAGTGCCAAGAATCTTCAGATCTTCTTACTAAATATAACTATTTTTGTACTACAATATTGGTCATTACGTTTGTGTTGTTGACTTATTCAGCCTAGAAAGAACTAAAGAAAGCGCTTAACATGCCAACTTTCGTAGTTTTCAGAAATCCTAACTACAAGTTGAGACTTCAAAATGTAATAAAAGCACAACATTTTGGGAACAAATAGTCAACTGCATTAATTGCAGTAAAACTTTATTTTTTGGTCATTTGTTCCAGATTTGGATGAGAACCATTTCTTAGCAGAACTGGCTTAAGTTCAGTATTCTTTAATGTAATTTCTATTTTCTGAAAAAGGGGGGCAGTCTTAAGTTTGCCGTAGAACCAACAGGGATGCAATTTTAGATTCTTCCTTAATAGGCGTTTGTTATTGCAAGGAACCAATCATTGGCATGCAGCACTGTGCAATTACAGTGAGTAATATGGAGAACTATAATTACCCATATCCATGGATCTGACTGTTAACTGTGTATCCTCAGGATAGGTCTGCATATGTAGGGTTAATTCATAATGGTTTAATTGTTTTATTTATAATAATATTGAGTATATATGTCTCGTGGCAAACACACACAGTTAAACATAATCAATGTTTTAACCAATCAAAATATCAACTGTTTACAATTGGAATGATGAAGGGGAAAGTACCTTTATAGCAGTATAAGTATCATAACAGTGCACACAAAAAAAACCTGGCTGGGATTGGATACGTGCTGTGTGAAGAATCGCAATGCCAACACTGCGTAGTATAGACGCTGTTCAAAGCATGATTACTCAATGCTGTTTTGAATCCCTATTACTTTGGGAGTATTTAATCATTGATAGTCCTGACACAGCCCTAAAAAATGTTGTATATGTGCTTATTAAAGAATGTTTTTTTTTAAAAAAAGTAATTTCTCTAAAATTGCATTTGAAACACTGTAGGCAGCATAGGTGAGGGTAAAATAGAACTATGGTACTTTGCCATTAATCCAAAGGGATTATAATATGTTATTGAGGTTTCTAATTTTTGTTTTTAACTGATAAACACCAATTAAATCCCCTTCACATAACTCCAGGGTGAGGTTTTCTCTCTCTCGCTCGTTTTCAACAGTGAGGTGTGTCAGCTGCGCATGCGTCATTATAGTTGTCTGCCTCTCCTTCACCTCCTATAATAGACCTATCAAACATTCATGCTGATCTTACTGTTGTATGCCAAGAGTTTGACATTTAAATGGAAATGAAGATCACATGTTAGGGTCAGTAGCAACATTATATCTGCTGAAATACCTCTGAGGAAATAAGTGTAGCATCTACTCAAAAGGACATTTTCTAACCTTAAAACCCAGGGAAGTGACTACCGTGTCAACCTGCCCACAAACTATATGCCATTGATTGTACTTTAGCCCAGTCAGTCACCTGACTCAGCTATAAACAAAGTGGAAATTATCTCTAAAGATATTTAAGCAAATTCATCTTTATTACCAACACTTGCATCTCTGACAAGCTTTTTTTTAATGTTTGCCTCATTCAGGGTCCCAGCAGCATATAAACCTTATTCAGTCCAGCATTTGATCATCTATATCTATTTTGGCAGTCGTAAACATCAATCCAGTTATTGAACCTTGAAAGCCAAGCTTCATTGGAGCTCTGTCAAAATGTTTAAATTTTGAACCTGAGCACATAAATCAGTTATCTGTGGATAGGGAATTTGTAACACACTGTGAATTGCCTTAGGCCATTATCTTCAGTATATTAAGAAAGGTTCATTCATATACCTTGTGTAAGTCAGATGATCCACATATCTGTGACCACCATAAAATGATGATGGCATCTCTTGCAGTTGCTTGAAAACTAAAATAGTGCGAATATTATTACCAAGCACTGAGTTTCAAGGCTATAAATCAAATTCCAGGATTCTTTCAGATATAAACTGCTGTGGTTCACTCCTGGTTTAGTTATCTGATCCACTGCTTACGGCCTTATAAATCACTGCCAGCTTTCCTATTGGGTATAATCAACAAAAAAATAAGTTATGCAATATCATCCACAATGTGAGAAACATGCTGATACGTAATGTTAGTGAGTTTCTAGCTCTGGGTTAAAGACATTGACCCTATTCACAGATGGTGGATTAAAGAAAAAGTATCATATGAAATATTATTAGTTTAACATTTTGCTGACTTTAGCATAGGCTTAAACATGCTTCAAATATTTAAAGAAAATCTATCAAATGAACTGCATGCAACCATTCAATGCAAAGCACTTATTTGAGCAATATTCACTGTCGGAATGTAAATTTGAGTTTGGGCCGTGACCTTTTGTAGTTTACTGCACACTAGTTAAATTATTTTTATTTGCAAATGGGAAAGAAAAGGTTATGTTTCTGGCTCCAGAAAGGCTAGTCTTTGACATTTTTTGAGTCGATTTCACAAGCTGGCAACAAGGTTTATTTCACATTCAACTGAGACAATCAGGGTCTCTTGCCAATAACATACATGTTCCGATGCAGAATAATGGATCCTTTGGAGTGAATGTGCAAGGCTACAACTTAATTGAATTGTTTGTATGACCTTATAAATTGTGAAATTGAGGTTCAATTATTTATAAAATCATGGAGATCTATTGTAGTTTAATGTATAGTGTGTAGTTTCATTCATTTACACAGGTTTATGACCCTCTTTTTGGTATTTAAGTGAGACTGAGGTGACAGTATGCTGCAATGGGGCTCACTTGTGTGATTATGGAACTCACAAAAGTGTGTTGTAAAACAGTCTGAAAATTGCTAAAGAATGTAAGTAAGACGTGTTTTTCTACAAAATATCCAGTTACTGCACTTTCCAGTAAAATCCTGGAAAGTGTAGTAGCTGTTTTCAGATGTCCTTTGAAGTGGAAGATGTTTTATTTTAAATGCAAAGATTATTGTGCAAAAAGTTGTATAATTGTAATTCATGTCTCGATGTGCATTTTCGTATCCCATTTGAATATCTACACACTGCTCCTCCCAGCAACCCTTATTTGCAGAGTTTTGATATAAAATGGTATATTCAACAAATGATTTTTTCAAAAGTAGTATGTATGTAAAATTTAAGAAGGTATTTTACCTTGACCTGTATTGGAATGTCTACAGCCTCTCTACCCTGTTGTTTCCTAAATTACTTCAGCATTACAGAGCCACATCAGGCTGAAGTACTGTGTTTTGCTGTTTGAACTGTGTTGATTCCATTGTCCTGCTGGAATATGTTCGAGTTCAAATATATGTAGTTGTTAATGGCAACTTTGGATTAAAGTCAGACTGGACGT